ATTCTAATTAGGTAGCTGAAGTAACCTTGCACCGCCATGTAGTAAATAAAAAGCATTAGTAGCAAAGGGACCAAATGCTGCAAAGCACAAGGGCTCTCCCAGCCCCTGGTAGCTTAACCGAAATGGTGGACACTGCAACGTAAAAGGGCCAAGCAGAGAAATTTAGAGTTAATGACTCCTAAATAATTTTCCAACACTATTCTGAAGTCGGTAGAAACTTATACCTGATATATATAGCCACAAATAATTGCACAAACTAGAAACAACATTGAACGAATGTTTTTTTCTGCAACAGCAGTCCAAGTTAGCCCAGCGAAGCCAAGAGCAAGGCACAAGTACGCAGCTATGAAGGTTCCTTTACGACTGCCCAAATTCAACATGAGGAATAATCAAGCTCAGTTATTTCTCTGTATCAAATACAAAAGCAAAAGAAGACAGAAAGCACCAAAACCAAGTCTGAGAAAAACTCACCTACCGACCAGGTTTACAACTGATTCCTTTTTGTTCTTGTCAACTCCAGTTTCAAAATCATGAACATCATTGCTGTCATGGCCATGCATAAGAAATTAAAAAATATTAGTATATTTCTTTTATGAACATTGGGGGAGTATTTGATAAGAATGATCCATAAGAGTAATGAAGCGGGAGGGGGAGCCAAAATTGGTAGTAAATTCATAGAATTGCATCATTTTCCTTGGATGGGTTAGTACTTGATAGAATGGTTGAAGAACCTCGTAGGACATTTTGTTAGTGTGCATGTTGTTACAAGTTTTCAACAGATATTTAGCCTGTGATTTGGGTACTAGCAGTTTATATTACATTTTGACTGAAAATTATGGCTTCCAAAAGTTCGAATGATGTTGCTACCAGAATCCATTTTCATTATATGTATTTAAGAAAATATGGAGATTTTTTTGTGTTGAACAATCATTTACTTCTATTTCGCATTCACTCATTCCATCCGTCGGTCTCAAACAGTATTGAAACTTACCTTAAATTGAGCCAGGTAATAACAAGAACCGAGGAAGCCAAGAGAACAAAATAACATCTAGCTGAGAAGATCCCTGTCTGCAAATACGCTGCTGCACTACCTACCTATCCATAGAAACCAAGATATAAATTAGAAATTCTCTTGCTCAGTTTCACATGCAGGATAATGATGGAAGAATCCAGAGAAAGACCAATATCAATGGAACATAAGTCCAATTTATATAAGGGATTAACACTACCTCATTTCTTCCTTATATGTTGCTCAATATTTTCATTTTTCACTTAACGTAAGACTTAGACTGAAGTTTGAATTTCCAATAGATAATGATATAAAACAAAGCCTTTAAGATGGGGCATTGCTTAAAATGACATGAATTTCCAGTGAGAAATATGATAATCTCTAATTCAAATACTATAAGCTATGGAGATAGGTTCAACATTAACATGGGAAAGGGAGGGATGGGCATTAGAGGAAAATCTTCTCTAGAAACTTAATATGCTTCAAAATATCCTTCCTTCTGTCTATATAACTAATATTAGCCTTCTTCCAGAGGCAAGCAGAAAGCCCAGGTTACTCTGCTAATACAGAATGACCTAGTGCACAGAGATTTACCTATGACTCGCATTCAACATTTTTAAATCCATAAGAAAAAAACTATAACACTTGATAATGTTATTATTCATGTAGTATTAAGTTGAAATCATCGTGGTCTCAAACTACTAAGTGTGAACTGCTATCTCAAACTCATGTTCCTGAAAAACCTTGTTAGAAGCTAACTCTTGCTCAACTTAAAAGTTCAGATTCTCACAGTGAGAGGAACGAATGCAACAGAGTAAATTGGCAACTTGATGGCTCTCCAAATCAATGTTTCCTTTGCAATATCCTCCTCAGTTTCATCGCCAGAGTCTCCAATGA